GTTAAGATTATTTATTTAAAGTATGTAAGTGAGCTTTAGAACTTCAGCCAAAATCAAAATTAAAATTTGAATTGTTTTCGATATACAAAAAATTAAAAAAAGATTTGAAATAATTTTTTTGTCAAACCAAGCATAAAGTTTTTCAAATCATTCAAATCGGATGCTTAATTCTCTAAAAAACTGCATTTTTTGTACATTGAGATCTGTATCTTCTAAATTGCTGGACCTGCCTTTGCCAAAAACTAATGACTTCTTCTGCCAATCATTACAAATTGAATGTTTTTCGGATTATTCAAATCGGATACTCAGTTCCCTCAAAAACTCGATTTCTACTTCTGCTCTTGTTTTCTTGTTTGCTCCGTATCTCCGTAAGGGCTAGAGCTGCCTTTGCCAAAAACTAATCAGCACATCTCCCTATCAATAGGAATCGAATGTTTTTGAACCGTTCAAATCGGTTGATCCGTGCGCCCGAAAACGTGGTAAAAATGCGGACATACAAAACACACACACTCATCTATTTTTTTCTGAGGTATGACAGTAAAATGTTCAGAAACCTTCAAAACGTCGAGAAATGCAATGAAAACATTTAGAATTCATCTGCTAATTAGAAAAAAATAGTTTCAGAAACTAATCGAAGGCGATCTTGATAAAGTTCCATCAAATGGCTTTAAAATTTGTGAATACAGTGCAACCGTTTTTGGAGAAAAAAACTCAAATTTTACCGATCATACTTTTTCCAATTTTGGTCTCAAACGACTTGGAACTAATTGATCTAGTTATTGCTAATTGTCCAAAATTGTTATTGAACTATTTTTAATCGTTCTAGTTATTACCAATTGATCAATCTATTTGTAAATCTAGAAGTTATTAGTAATACATCCAGATATTGCAATTTACTGATTTATCTATCTGGTTTCTACTTATTAAAAGTACAAATGTGTACAAATTAGTACATATTAATGACACTATTGCTGATTTATCTAGTTACAAGTTATTGCTAATTGATAAATGCCATAAAATCTGGAATTATTGTATCAAATTAATTGTATAGTCCGCGACTCAACTTATATCGGTGAAACTATTGAAAAATTAATAAAATGACTTGGACGACATTGAAAAAAATCAAAAAGGGCCAAACAATTTAAAACAATGTTTACAGAACATATCAGCAAATTTAATCATGTAGATTTTTTAACCGGTCTATACTACATTTTGAAGAAAATTCATTCAAATTCAAGATTTAGACAGAAGTCAGAAGACGCAAATTCTCCTTCGGCTTGATGAAAATAAATTATACACTCAATTGAATTTTTTTTTGATATCTACAATATCTCCATATGATTCCAAACACTTCCTACAGATCTCTTTAACAAATTGATATATGCATATTTCCATACATACATACAAACGTAAGTACCGAGGTGGATTATATTATAGACCTCTACTTTTTTACCACTCGGACTCTGGTCTCGGGTCTCTTAGACCCCATGCTGTTCGATTTGCGTGTGGTCACAGGAATTTGTCTCCGACTGTTCGTTCTGAGAGACGAAAAAACAAACTGAAAATATTCAACTACAGTTTGTTTGTTTGTTCGACGTTTCTCTATCTTGGTAAGTCGCTGCCTCTATTTTTTGAGAAAACGACATCTATCGATGGCTAGGAAAAAATGACATCAATTTTCCAAATTTGGTTTCCAACAATTTGAAATGACATAAAACAAAATTAGCAAATCGGAAAATCTGGCGAAAACAACCATCCCCTTATTATAAAAAAAGATTATCTGTTACTATTACAGTTGTTGTTTCTGGTCTATTTCTTTTCTAGGAAAAGCTCATTGGTATAATGTGATAAGGCCCACATCAATTTTTCAAATTTAATCTCAAACAATTCGAAATGACTTAAAACAAAATTAGCAAATCGGAAAATCTGGCGAAAACAACATTCTCCTTATAATAAGAGGATTATCTGTTACTATTACAGTTGTTGTTCCTGGTCTATTTCTTCCATAGGAGTTCGACTCGCGCATGTTTTTCCAGAGATGTAAAATATCGTGGTGATAGAAAGGGGTTTTTGGTAGGATTTGTAGTTCGCACAGAAGGAATATAAATGAAAGAGGATTCGAATCGATCCTTTTGTCGAAATTGCCGACTAGCCGCAAATGCCTTGGGAATAGACGAACTTAATTGGATATATGTAGACAGACACGCGGCAATTTATATATATATATATATATATATATATATATATATATAATATATATATATATATATATATATATATATATATAAAAATACATAGTCATATTTAAAACAATTTTACACTGTTTTAGTGACATAATAATTTTTATATAGGTTTAAGTATACATTACGATAAATCTGTAGACTAGCCTGATTATGAGATATAATGATAAGAATATTTAAAAAATATATATATATATATATATTTTTATCAAAATTCTAACTTATGTGATTTGTAATTGTAAATTTTTTGCACAATTCTTATTGCATCATTAAAAATTATAAAACACAATCCAGAAAACAAATATTTGTATCGCATATCGCACTGAGATCATTCGTTTGTTCATTACTATCTTATTATAAATGTTTGTTAAATTTCCTTCGCTAATTTGATTTTCAAATCATTTTTCTTCAAAACGTAGTATGTTCGGTTTAAAAAATTAATTAAAGTCGTTTTATTACATTTTGGCAAGTTTCACCGATATAAATTCTGTCGCATTCCATACAATTAATTTATTACAGCAAATTTCTAAGATGTTCGATGTTGAAATAAGTTTTTGATTTTGTAAAAATAGTATCAATAGTTGTGCTGTTAGATCAAAAATTAAAATATAAATATGTATATTTAAAATTACATAGAAAATATTGGAGTTAAGATGTATTGTAAATGGCTAAATTTATAATTAGAGGAAGTCAATAAAATATATATATATATATATATAAAAAGTTGTGCTGGACCTGTCAATATCCTAATTTATAAAATATTTTTTTCCAAGTATAACAAACAGCTGATACCAGAGTAAGTTTCAAAGTCAGGTAAATTATTGTGGTCAATAAGTTTGTTAATTTTACTAAAGATGTAGGTACGTTTGTTATTAGCTAATATCATGAACCTGATAATAAACCATGAAATTGACTAGCATTGTTTATTCAAGTTGAACAAATTGCAACTAAAATTTTCGGATCTTCTAGAACTGCTGATTATCATATAGAATAATTGTCAAACAAAAACAAAATTCTTCTTAGAGAAGTAACAAATTCCTACTTAGTAAAATCTTTGCCATTTGATAAAATTCTATTCAATCGATTGATTTCATTATTACTAATTGATCCATTTATTTCTAATTAATCTAGTTATGGCTAATTGTTCAAAATTGTTATTGAAATCAATCAATCAAAATGACGATTGTTAATGTTCTGGAGATAAATTGATTTATTTATAATTTACAATAGATTTGCTCATATATAACAAGATAGTAAAAATAATGAAAGTTACACTATTTGTAATAATATATTTGAAAACGTTTAAATATCTCGAATATTTCATTACGGTACGAGAAGTTCCAGCAATTTGCCTTAAGGCGCAATACCATACCATACATGTTATCATTTTACTACGGATCTTCATAAAAATCTTCAACACGGGTGCTAACGATTCTACCAGGATATAGAAAAATCAGGATATGCTGGACCATAAACTCGTCCATTAATATCCAGCTCATATAACAATACTTGCAACTGCAAAATAGAACAACATGGACCTTTTGGGTCATAACCTCGAATTCCAAAAATATTTTTAACACCAAATATCCTGGAATCTCCAAAATCCGTATAACTCTCCTTTACCCCAAGACCCTTCTTTTGTCCTCCACTGTTCGAGTCCTCCTCTTTTTCACACTCACACACACTCACACACACCGTACTCCTCCTCCAGTTCAGAAGAAGGCCGACAACCGAAGACTCACACTCCGCCTCCAGCGTACCCTCTATTGACCTCGGCAGGGGTAATATTTTGTCTCGGGAAAAAGGAACGACCTAAAACAACGCTGCTGCAACCAATCGCAGGATATGTAGAGAACACGCCCGACCAATTAGAGGTTAGATTTGTAAAGAGTAGGGCGAGCAGATCGAAAAGTGTTATTTGTGGAGCAGTCAGTAACGTATGTACTGTTGGATCGTGTAGACGTGTACATAGAAACGCGCGTGTGGTTTTTGGAAAAAAATGTGATTTTTGAAAAAATTGTGGGGAAAGGTTTATGGATATTGATAGAAGAAGGTTTTAGTTGTTATTGTGTGAAATAATAGATTTTTGATACAAGTGCAAGTGGTTCTAAAACTTTGTCGAACACGCGGCCTGGCAAGGATACAGGTCGGTCGGAGCACCAAAATTGTACAATTTGGTACATTGAACAACAAAATTGACAAGTTTTGTGATACACATTAGAAAAACACATAATTTGTTTGAATAAAAAAAATATAAACAACTATTTGTTGCTAATAAATTTAGTGCAAAATTGATCCCAAAACAAATAATTCATTGGTTAGGGCTTAATCAGGATCACACTAAAAACCCGCCAGGTTCATTTCAGGACCATGGAATTGCACATAAAATTTGTATGGGTCTTGTCGTGTTATAGGTGATATTGGACTTTAAAAAAATTGTAAAGAATTGTGTTAATTTAGTAAATAAATAGTAAAATAGTTTTATGTTAAAACTAACACAAACACTACAAAAAATCCCATCACGAGTTTCTCGTTAGAAATTTCCAAAAATATACGTGTTACAAACAATTAGTACTAAAATTTTAGACTTATGAACTCACAGTGAACTTTAGTGCAGTGTACAAAATAAATAAATTAATAATTTTTCTAAACTAAATGTGTCTTTTATGATGACATAGTCCTCTATTTCCCTTAATATCTCCGTTAAAAAAAGTCGTAAAGACTTGCGGTTTGCTCTCAAAAATTCCTAAAGGATTCGAGATGATTTTGGGGGCACAGCCGAGACCCGGGGCACCGCCCGCGCCCCCAAGCACGAACGCAAACGCCCCCAATAAATTGACGCGTAGCACCGATTTTTCGATAGCGGCTATCATGTCGAAAGCCAAGAGGGACAGGGAGCGGCAGCAGCAAAATTGTAAGTTTGAAAAATAGAAAAAAATAGAAATTTGGGGAAATTTGAAAAATTTGTTGGATATAAGGACTGTTTAGAGTTTTGGGTATATGATAGAAATGTTTGTCGAAGGTTTAACAGAGTGGTTCAGACGGTATTTAAAAGTTTTGAGGACAATGTCAAGTATATATTTTGTAAAACAATTTCTTTTACACATCGTCGTAAAAAGAATTTAAATAATAATGTAATACAGGTATTTATATAAATTCAGGAATTCTGTTGACTCGTTAAATTTTATAATAAAATTAATTAGTTAATAACGAAAAATTGTTACTAAGATTTTATTTAAACGTTTCCATAGGATTAAGATTAATTGAATTTATGTATAAAAAAATTATTCAAATTAATGTGTCGATAATAAAACACATTGTAAAACGCTTTGTAAAAAATCGTCTTAATGATTTTATATTCAATTATATAATTCTAATAATAAGATTTACAAGTTATCAACAAAAAATAGTTTCCAAAAGTTTTGTATAAGATTTCAAATAAGCATTTTCTCAGAACTAAAATAATACGAGAAATTATATAAAGTATAGAATAATTATTACAAATAAGAAATCTGACTAAAAAATTAAAATTATTTTTTATTAAAGTGTTAAATTTAAAGTGCTATTTGTTTTATATTACAGCATAAGATATTTTGTTATAAAACGTTTGCGACGGATAGAACATATCTATGAATTTGTTAAAAACACTAAATCTGTTTTAAATTGTTTTATTAGTTTGGGATTCACTAATCAAAAGTGAAAAAGGTTGAATATTAACCAGTTAATTATTTTAACATTTCTAGAAATGCACACAGTTAGTTTTAAATGAGTAATTAATTTTATTTTATACTGGTCACATTTTTAACTTCAATCTAAAATAATTTATTTTAATATAATTTATTGATTTATTTAATTATTTCAAATACTTCATAAATTCTAATTGAGAATTTTATAGAAAATCTTTCAGAAAGATTGAAATAAAAGAAAAACGTTCAGAAAGATTTATCTAATTACAAAAGTTCCACATTTTTAAATTGTATTAATGTATTTAAAAAAAATCATCGAAAATGCGACAGAATTCAAAATTAAATACTTAAATTTTCCAATTCATTCAAACATTTCCATTTTAATTTCTATGTTATAATATAAAATCTTTCCTTATTTGATGATTTAATAATTTTAACAATTCAATAATTAATAATGAGCATAATACAAAAAAATCTGAGTTACTAACACCCAATTTTTTTCTTCAAATTTTACTAATTATTTATTTTTGAGATAAAAAGTCACTGAAGATGACACGATGAATAATAGTGAAACGTTCGAATTCAAATAAAAATTATATATTTAGTAAGTAATATTTTCTTTATAGATAGATTTTTATAAAAAAAAAAAAATATATTACCAAGTCCTGCCTAAGAACAAATGTAAAAAAATCTCAAATCACATTTGCTTTCATGTAATTGTTTAACAATTCACATTTTTGCAATAATTTACAAAACAAAAAAATAGCTAAAATTATTGTTATACACATATAGAAACTGAAAATGATGCAATGAATAAAAATAAAACGTTTGTTACCAAATATTAACTATAAAATTAGTAGGTAATAATATAAAGTGCTTTAAAATTAAATTTAAAAAATCGACTAAAATTTTTATTTTTTTCTTTAAATTTTCTAATAATTGGATTTCTTTAATTGTTGATATGAATTTATTTTGCAAATATTTGCAAATTGGTGAACTTGACAAAAAACCTAAATCACATGTTGCTATTTTTTTCTGAACTTTACTTTCATGGGGTCAACATTTTATTAAACAAAATATCTCTAAAGATGACACCTTAGATAAAAACGAAGCGTTTGAACAGAACTATAATTTTTAAATCACTTACACCCATATATATATATATATATATATATATATATATATATATATATATATATATATATATATATACATATCCATTCACATATAATTTTTTTCCTCTAATTACATAATCTCCGGCCAACGTCGGCTTCGAAGACCCTTTCATTGTCTCTGTCAAATAATAATTTCCGAATTATACATTTCGGAGGTCCCTGAGAGAGACCTCAAGAGACCTCTATCTCTTACCGGAGACCTGTAATTTCCGATAATTAGGTTATTTCTTTCCTCTGCAGGATTTCCGATAAGAATCTTATAAGAACGAATCTTATATGAGCATCCGTCGGAGGCGAATCGTTAAAATCGAAACGTGTGCGGAAATCGATTATGGGGGGAATAATTTTAAATATTTATTGGTTAATTTGGGGTACGCGTTTTATTTTTAATAAATTGGGAATTAGAGTCGTGTCGAGGATTTTATAAGGCTGATCACACGTTTCGATCGGAATTTGATACCATCATTAGGAGATACTTATTTTTATGAATTTGTATATATGTACTAATATATGCATTGAATTGAATTTAAGTTAAATGAAGCACTAAATGAACAACTAACAATCTGTAACGAAACGTATATATATACATATATATGTATATTAGGGTGGTCCTTAATATGGACTATTACGAATTTCCTTGCTCCCAAAGGCTCAAATGGTTCCAAATTGACAAAAAATAATTCTCTGAAAGTTTTAGCTCTTAATATTAACTTTTAGATAGTGCGCAATTCAATCAAACTAAGTATGGAAATTGTTCGGAAAAAAATTAGAAAATTAAAAAAAAAAAATTTTTAGGTATAACTTAGCGACAAATGGATTAAAAGTGAAAATTCGTGTAATCTTTTATTAAAAATTCAACGCTTTGCAAAACTTTTAAAAAATTGTTCATGCTATTTCCATACAAAACTTTGATTGAATTGCGCTCATTCTAAAAGTTAATATTAAGAGCTAAAACTTTCATAGAATTGTTTTTCATCTATTTGGAACCATTTGAGCCATTGGGAGCGAGGAAATTCGAAATATAATATTTATGTATATGTATAATAGAATAATGTTTAATGTATAATAATAATAGAATAGAATAATGTTTATGTATAATAGAAATAATTGTTTTATGAGATCTGGATAAAAAAAAAATCTTATTTTTGAAGCTTTTTATAATAAAAATTACGACCCACTTAGGTTTTATAAAAAAATCATTTATCAAAATTATTGATGTCAATATAAAAAAATCAATATCGAATCAAGCTCACACCTCAGTTTCCTGCTCCCAAAATCTATCTCTTAGATTTTGATTCCTATTTTTTTCGGTTTCGGTACAATTATCAATTCCCTCGAACCGGCGGAACGAATTCATCCTCAGTGATCTGACTAATAATACGTAATTGCCCGGGGACGACATTTTTGATACTTTTGACATTTTTGACGTTTTATCGAAACGAAGAATCTATCTAATTGTATTTGGGATTTCAAAAAAGACGATTCTGGTCATTGTGTGTGGTATTTCACGGCGAATCAAACAGAAAAAACGGTTATGAATAGAATAAGTTATTTAATTATTCAGGGCGAAAAGCGTGAATGTCGCCTTATTCTTATAAAATGCACTATTTTTTCATCTTTAGTTATAGTACAACAAATATATCATTTGACTTTATTTTACAAATTACAAATTGTATTAGTTCGGGGCCCCCACTGTTGCATCTTGACTACCATTGCCTATTGACCACCAATTTTACAAACTTGATATATTATGAAAATACTAGAGATAAATAAAACTACCTATTATGATTTTTATATAAATACTTTAAATAGCCATCATTAAGGATTTTTGATAATATTTATTCATTGGTTAGAAAATATTAAATTAGAAATAACTAGTACATAAATTATTCTGTTGAATTAGTAATCATAGTTTTGTTCGTTGTGTAAAAAACTTTTTGATTTTTGGAATTTGGACATACTTAGAGATTTTCAAAAGAATTGCTATTGTACTGAAGCAATAACTGTATGTTTATAATCGTTATTTCAAATTGAAAATATAGAATCAAATTCTTCGTTCCGAGTTATATAATATGTCAATTTTTTTTAAATATTTTTAGCCTCAAAAGACGTTTAATAATTATGTATCTTATCTTTAACATTGAAAAAACAAATCACGTAATTGAATTAAATTTAATAAAACGAATATGAAAAATATATATTTTAATAATTTTCATAAAAATATAATATTGGACCGAAAATAGAATTTTGGACGAAATGTATATATTATATATATAATAGATATATAGAATAAAATTTTAGAAGTAAAAAAAAGTAAAACAATAGTGTATTTATGTTTACACGTTTCGACATGATTTTTTTCATGTTTATGAAATTCATCAATGGATCTACCATTTTGAAAAAAAAAATCATTTAGTTAGTAATTTTTCTGTCAAAATTGTAAAATCACTCATGCTGACATAATATATCTATATATCATAAGAAGGATCTATAATTTTTTTTTTACTTTTACGTTTTAACATATAATTTCTTATCATCTATAATTTCTTATCATTGCATTTAAGAAAATTTCTTACACTTTTAGTTAGTAATTTTTCTGCTCAAATAGTAGATTTATTGATGATGACAGTCTTTTCATTTTTACACGATGTTAAAGTTATGCTTATTTAGTTTTTTTATATCTAATCATCGAAATGTCTAAATTGCTTGTCTCGAAATCTCAACTATTAGATTTTTTTAACAAAACATTAATAAAATCAGAAATAAATCACAAGATTCTTTGTATCACCAGAACGTCTAAATTGCTCACTTCCAAATCCAATGCAGGAGTAGGATCTTAAGTCAACTTTTAAATTTTTATGCAGAACATAAAAAATATTTATAAATAATACCTATTATAAATCAGAAATAAAAGCACAACGACAATTTTAATCATTTTCGGATAATGTACCAAAAATCGTGAATTCAAAAGTCTAAACTCCAAATCCTCAAACTCCAAAGTCTCAAAATCTAAATATCAAATTCTCAGTGTCATTTCATGTCAAGTTTTATATATTTTATTTAGAATATCACTATTGGTCAGAAATAAATCTGTAAGATTCTTTCTTCAAAAACCCTAATACAGAACTAAAAGCCGATTCGTCGAAATGTCTAAATTTCTTGTTAAAAATCTAATTATGATGCGTTTATTACACGATCTTGGACCACCTTCTTATGGTTAAGGTTTTAATCAAAAATAAATACGATCTTGGACCAACTTTTTATACTTTAACCAAATAAATCCAATTTGTAGATCCATGGATGAAGAACTAAGAATCCGAGGAACAAAACTTCTAAATTGCTTGTCTCAAAATTCAACTATCAAACCCTTGGTGCACCATCTCAAATTAATTACTTTTTGGTTTATTTTTGCAAAACACCAATATAAACCAGAAATAAATCCAATTTTAAAACAATCTTGTCATCGTAATAGACATTTTGCTTATTAATTAATTCCTTGTCTCAAATTCTGACTATCAGTATAATTTCAAGTCAGGTTTTAGATATTTTATGTGGAATATAATTATTGACCAGAAATAAATTTATGAGATACTTTGTTTAAAATTCCTCAAAGGGGGCGTCCATTAATCACGTGAGCTAGTTTTTAAGGATTTTTGGACCCCCCTCCCCCTTGGTGATACATGGTGATATTCAAAATTACCCCCCCTCCCCCACCAAACATCAACTGTATTTTTAGGTACGTAAAAAACTGTAATTTTTTTTTAATTATTTTTGAAAATGTTTGAACTTTTTTAAAAAAAATATCTAAAAAATAAATACACGTGATATCTTACTATACCCCTCCCTCCCCCACGTGATATTTCGTGATTTTTTGTCAAACCCCCCCTCCCCCTAAAAACTTCACGTGATTAATGGACGCCCCCAAAGAAGAACTAAAAGCCGAATCGAATTTATTGTAGGATCTTGAGTCAACTTTTAGAGTTGTAACTAATATACACGAAAAACGTCCAATTTGCAAAATTCCCTAATAAAGAACTAAAATTCTTAACAATTATATAATCAACTAACTATTTTTTTTCTATCCATTACCAGTGTCTCCGACCAACGAAGACGTCGAAGACATCGAAGTCGACGTCGAGCAATGTTCGGACAGCGAATCGACCGCCAATTCGACCCACACGACGAGTCCCTCCTCGATCAACATCAACATCAACAACAACAATTGTCCGAGGATCGTTGCTAAACAGCAGCAACAACATCAACAGTCCAACAATAGTAATAACAGTGGTGGCAACGTTTCGGCCGGCAATCCCGCCGGGAACAAGTCCAACCCGAACGAGAGCGGTACGGAGCAGACGCCGCCGAACAGCCCGAGCGGCAGCGAAAGGCTCAGCCCGGACATACCCATGGTAAGGGAAATAGACTTAGGAGGGAATAATTGTATGGTTTTTGGGCATGATTTGCCTGCTGCGAGTTGCATTCTTGATTATTTAAAAAACAACTAGTGGTGTATGGCATCGTGCCTTAAGACAAATTGCTGAAACTTCCCGTACCGTAATGAAATATTCGAGAAATTTTAAGTTTGCAAATTTATTATTACAAAGACTCTGTAACTTTCATTATTTTTATGCTATCTTGTTATATCTGAGCAAATCAAATGTAAATCATAAATATCCATAATTTATCTCCAGAACATTAACAAACGTCATTTCATTTCGTATTCAATTTAAAAAAATAACAGTTGCCTAATTTGCACAAAATTTAAAAAGTGCTCCCGTATAGTCACAGTCTAAACGCATTTGCAAATAATTCTGTGCGACATTTTCACTTATACTGTGCTTAGCTTGGCGGCATTTTCACATTTTTCAATAGTTGACGGAAAATGCGGACACACACACACGCATCCATTTTTTTTGAGTTATGCCAAAATGTTCAGAAACCTTCAAAACGTCGAGAAATGCAAAAATTTTCATTTTCAATTTTCGGCCGATTACTCAAAGATAACTATGATAAAGAAACAATAATTAGACAAAATTTGTGGTATTAAACTTTTGATTTTTTTGGGCACATTTGCCAATTTGCCACATTCTTCTATACTTTACGAGTTTACAAATTTACACAAAACAAAAATTCAACCAATGGTGCATGGTATCGCCTTAAGGAAAATTGCTGTAACTTTCCGTACCCTAATTTCAAACAATAGCAAATTTTAAAATTTTAGAAAATATTAGTTTTTTTGTCTATTGATCATTTATGACCGCCAAATGTAATGCTTTCGTTTTTTCATTGGATCTCCAAAATCCTTGACCTGGGATGGTCAATATAAGAAAAATGTTTTTTGAATCATTCAAATCGGTTGATCGATTTATTATAGATATATTGTCATAGTAAAAACGAAATAAAAATAATATATAATTTTGATTATCAAATTTTTGTCTATGTCGAGTTGTATTTATTGATTTTTATATAATTTTATATAATTTATATAATTTTATATAATTTGTTTTATATAATTTATATAATTTTATATAATTACAACAAAAGAAAAGTTGTTTTAAACATTGAAATTGACGTTCAATTGATAATTGTAATGCCTATTGGCAAGTTGCAATATAAAACCGCATTCTAATCAAATTTAATTAAGAAAATAATGATTATCTACAGAACCATAAAAAATCACATAAAAATGCAGTCCACGCGTCCAGTATAATTTTTAATTCTTAAAATTTCTGAGGTAGCTAATTAACTTTCCTTAGGGTAAGCTATAGTAATCGCAAAAAAATCAAAAATGAAAATTTTTATATATATTTACGTTTCAAAGGTTTCTGAATATTTTGGCATACCATAGAAAAAATGTATGTATATGTGTGTGCGGATACAAATTTTCGTCGACGATTTCGGGAACACCGATCAACCGATTTGGGTAATTCAAAAAACATTCGATTTGTATTGATAAGGAGACGTGCTGATTAGTTTTTGGCAAAGGCAGGTTTAGCCGTTCCGAAGATACGAGGCAAAAAATGCCAAAAACGGTAAATCAGTTTTTAAGAGAACGGAGCGCCCGATTTTAATAATTCAAAAAACATTTTACTTGTATTGATTAGATGAAGAACTGATTTTTGGAAACGCAGGTCCAGAGATTATAGACTCTCAATAAAAATAAGTTAAAAAAATGTCATTTAGCGGAGATAGAGATTTTAATAAGGTGTACACATTTTATGTAATTTTTTTGGGTTCCGTATCCAGATTTTTATTTACGGTACGGCAAGTTCCATCAATTTGCCTTAAGGTACGATGCCATGCATCCCACTAGTTTGAAATTTAAAGCAAAGTAGTCTAAAATTATGAATGTAGAAGAATATTATATTTAATGATCTTAGTCAAATATTAATGTAAATAATACATAAAATGATTTAACAATTTTTATCTATTTCAGAGAGGAGACAGGTGTAACAGTGACGACCTGCGATCGGTCCGGTGTCATTTAGAAACGAAAGATCTTTGGGACAAATTCCACGATCTCGGGACAGAAATGATCATTACCAAAACTGGAAGGTAAGATACAAATAAAAATTATAGTTTTATATATCTATTTACTAGTTCACTTTTTGCGTTTAAAACGTTTGCGTTTTTTTTAAAGTAAAAATAAATAAACTAACAGAGTTTCTACGAGGCAAATATCAACAACCATTAACAGTTTTTATATGTATCGATAACAAAACTTAGCTTTATAATTAATATCACTGCTCCTCGATGTCAATCGGACATGTACAAAACTCCCGGGTTCATCAATTTTCCCCATATTGTCACAACATAAATTTATTTATTTACACCTAAACAAATAGTCCTAATATCCGTTTAGCAGTAGCAACAACATAACAACAACAAGAAAAACACACCACAATATCCACAAAGAGCAAATAAGACGATTGAAAAGCGCGTGTGTGTAAATTCCCTGACAATGGCCATTGAAATCGTTGCGAAACGTCACTTGGTAGTGACTCGACTATTATGATATTGTTGACTTAAATAAACGGCTTCTCTCTCACTTCTGTATATATATACACATTTATATATATATATATATATATATATATATATATATATATAAATAAATATTTGTATATTTAGAATGGGGAACAATGCAACACGCCCATAATATTATTTGTACCGCGATTTTCTATGTTCGTTTTTATGTTATGCACATATTTATATAAATAACGGTTTATATTAGTTTTTAATAGGCAATTGATATATATTTCTAACTATTAAATATTTTGTTTGTATTCAGATAATTTTTTATATCATAGCAAACCGGGCGAACTCCGTTTCACCACCAGATGGTTTCATTTTATGTAACATTTCGTTTGGTGATTAAAAGATGAAGAAAAAAATTGCCTGCTGATAAAATTAAATAAAAATTTGCACGATACACGTGATTGATTTGATGCTTTCCAATTGAAATGTTAGGAAACAAGTAACTTATTTTTTTTACTTTTTTTGCACAATATCACAGTGAACATAATGCCGGTTTGTCACTAAAAATTAACTAAGCAGAGAATAATGAGTAGCTATCAAACAAATGAGTAGCAGTCAAACAAAAAATCTTAGTTTGTAGTACATGCTCAGTATCAGAGATGACGCTGTATGTTGAAAGGTTAACAAAAAATTACAAAAAAATATGAAAAATTACGAAAAATTACTTGGGGAGGGAGGGCTATAGCAAGATATCACGTGTATTTACATTTTACCAGAGTTACTAAAATAAATCCAAAAATTCTACAAAAAAAATATAAAAATTACAATTTCTTCTTGTAACTAAAAATACGTAATGATTGGTGGGTGAGGGGGCAGGGGTAATTTTAATTATCACCACGAAGGGGTATGGGGCGACTAAATATCCTTAAAAAATCGATCACGTGATTATAAACGTCCCCTTACAAGGGGAATCTCAGATTTACTCTTCTGGGATTTTGATAAAAGTTTCCATGGTGATAGAGTTGACAATCAAGATGAATACCTTAAAATATTATAGGTCTATGAGAAGTGGTTTAATTATAAAATTTAATTAAAATTATTTTATTTTCCTAACTTATCACTTTGAACAATATTGCTTATAAAGTTTAAATATCACATAAAGCTGCATGTAAGTATGAATGTATGTATGTATGTATGTATGTATGTGTGTCTATATGTATCTATATATGTATACATGTATGTATATATGTATGTATGTATGTTTATATGTATATATGTATGTATGTATATATATATATGTATGTATATATGTATATGTATGTATATATGTATGTATATATGTATATATGTATGTATGTATATATGTATGCATATATGTATATTCTATCTAAAATAGTTTTTTATCATCCGTTCGTCTGTCATTCTAAATGTCAAGTCACCTTTTCAAAAAATCCATTCGTCAACGATCCGAGAACGTTATCTCGATTTTTATAATAAACGTTCTTAGTGTATTATATTATTCTGTGTGTGAACCCGTGTGTGTGGCTAGCTGTCTATCACTGATCGAAAAATATGATATAGGATAGTTAAAACAGGGGAAAACGAATTTGAACATAAAGGGGCCACTATAGAAAAATAATAGATAGGGTAATAGATTGATGCGTTTGGTGCAAATGAATTGTTTGTATGTGGGAGTGCCGCAAGGAACGGTTTAAGGACCTCTTTATATTATTTCTGGATGATAACTCTTGAAATCTCTGTTTTTTTTATTTCCATATAATCACAAATTGCCTGGTAAGGACTTCATAGTCATTTTAACTAAAAAATAGATATTAAGAAAATACAGACATAATAAATTTAAATTATATGTTGATTATGCTAAATGTAACAGAAAAAACTACAAATCTCAACAAGAATAATGCAAATATTTTCTGTAAGATTAGATAAGGAAAAAATACTTATATTTACTATATAGAGATCAAAATAATTCAAATTTCAAAATTACTATATAGAGATCAAAAATTTTGGTAAAATACAATAAGAGCTAATTTTTATTCGAAACTTGTTTTGAATAAATAAGACTAGACGAAAATCTTAAAGGAATAATATTTATTATTATAGACTTCGACTTGCTTGTGATAAAATAAACAAAAAAGTTTTCTAATAACGCTAAAAAAATTTAAAATCATTTTTTTAAAATATTAATTATATATCAGGTGCTTCAAAACTTTTTAAAAATTACTTGTAGAGATATTTAATTTTGTTGAGTTTATGCAAGCGTGCTTATAAATATTCAAACAGCTTTTTAAAAATATATTGTAATAATTTACAGACCCACAAATGACCTCCTGTGTCACACACAAATATATATATATATATATATATATATATATATATATAAACGTGGAGTCACATATTTCAGATGTTATCCTTAAATGGCTCGCGATTAAAAAATGACAAAACAAAAAATTATACACATACGTTTGGATGATAGATATATAAAAATACAGCAATATATATATATATATATATATATATATATATATACAAACATGTGTCTGTATATAAAAGTGTAATCTTCGAGTAGGGTCTGAAATCGTTTTGTTAATGTCGTCTTGGAATTTGACAATTATTGTTTTTTTATTAAGTAGCTTGTCAAAGATTAGATTTCGGATATATATATATATATATATATATATATATAGAAATGTATACTATACACCTGGTTACAGGTGTTGCTTGATTTAAAACTAACAAAAGCCATAAAATATCACTAATTTGACATGCACGTGCTAAGAGAGGAAGAAATTGATTCTTGAAAATATTTTGAGCAGAAGTAACTTTGAAGATTATTAATAATAATAATTAAATAAAACGTTATATAAAATAAGTTTTTATAATGGATTATCACTAAATCGATATGTAGTTATAAAAGTTACAAAACTTGAAATAATTTGGCACCAATTTTGTAATTAACTCGATACTACTTTATTAATATTAAGTCGTTACGCCTTCGTTATTAAGTTAAGTTATAATTAAACAAAATTGATATGTGCAAAAAAAGAAAAAATACATTAAAGTACGATAAATTGGATATAAATTTAAAAAAAGTTAAAATATGATTAGCGTAATAATAATGCTAATGAATTATAAATTTGATAAAATGAAGGTGCATTACAGCATTGGGAGTAGCACAAGGAACGTTTTTAAGACCTTTGATCATTCAGTGACGTCACAGGCCCCTTCTAACTTTGGACACTTATTTTGTAGTCGATGTAATGTGAGGTCTATGATTTAACTAAATTTATACTGAATTGAACGCTTTTTTACACTTTTTTTAAAAAATAAGTGTAACAGCTACAAACGTCTCAGGACTCTGATTAGTGTCATCATAAGTATAAGCATGATTTTTTTTTTAAATCAACATAAAATTTACAAATATGAGTAGTAGCTATGACTCTGACAAGGGTGATCAATAATTTCCTAGTTAGTAGTGTCTTATTTTTCGTAAAAACCAAACAACATTTCTAATTTTGCAATAAAAATAGTTTATACAAGTTTTCTGACTATATATAGTACAGTAAAGTGTGTGTGTATATATATTACCGTCCAGGTATAAAATCGATCCCGTATCAAAACTTCTAAGCCTTTATATATATTTTTTTCTTGGTCGTTTCTTTAACAGGTGCTTCGTTGTCGATGTCGTTCTATCGACAGCTCTTCAGGTATTTACAACAAAAGAAAAAAAAATATTTTGAACACGAATTTACATGAACAAACATACTCCTAAATGGTCATTTTGGACACCTCGAGATAATATATATATATATATATATATATATATATATATATATATATATATATTATACAGGTGTATCGACTGAATTGATGTTTTTTTCATGTTTGCGTCTTAATCGTTTTGTAAGAAAATATTTGATGCCTTAAGTAGCTATGAAGACGATTGAATTATTTATTAGTATTGTAAATATATAAATAAATAAATAAATAAACATGTAAATTATCGGTTTAGTACCGATTTATATATTTTTTTGGTATCAACTTTTTTTACGATGCAATATTAGTAACCATACTGTATGGACTTGGTACTAACAAAGTAATATTGATTTTGTAATGATAATGAAGAATGTAAATATTTTAGAATTTGTTATTCCAGACGTTTTGATGAAAAATTTTACGTGGATTTTGATGTACATTTTTAGTGAATATAAATTTTTTTAACAACTTATATGACACCCAATAATATTTAGAAAGAAATGTGAAAGTTGTACAAATTACACTAAACACTGCGACTGCAAATTATAAACTTTAAATTTTTCATTTATAATAATTAGTTGTATAATAATTGTATTATTGTAATTTAGTGGGATAATTTTGCACTATTTAATTAGCATATATATTTTTGATTGAAATCAACAATAATTTTAATAAGAATTAAGTAATTATGGTATTTGTAAAACTGTTGCCCTGATAGTGTTTTGAACATTGAAGATCTTTGTTGTAAATAAAGTAATTTAGTAATTACTGAATTTAATGCAGGGTACTCTTGTATATATATA